TTGGGAATGTTGCTCGAGTTAAGAAAAAACTCTCGCAACATTCCCGCGTGTTTGGATCAGGCCATCCAAACACGGAAACCATAAAGTAATTGTATAATACTAACTAGACATGCAACTAGAAACGTCTAAATATGACGTCTAAAAATGAAAATATACACAACTTGTCATTCTATTTTAAACGAATTTAACTTTCCTTCAGCGGAACCATGCATATTTATAATGCTAGTGAATATTAGATAACAAAGCGAAAGTGAAAGAGAACGAGTGTGGAAAGCATTGATGATGTTAATTTACTATGCAAGTCGTGTATACTCGTCAAGTACTCGTGTCTTACTCGTATCTACCCGTGTATAAGATGTATGCAACTCTAATCTCGTTCCCCGAGCCTGCGATCGATCCTCGGGAAGGAACGTGAGGCTCTGGAATAATCCGTTTCATGAGGGAGGAATCTGATTGGCCGTTGATATGGATTGCGCAGTTCAATCTTAGCCAGGATTCCTGGCTTCCGGCAACGGATTATCCCAGAGCCTCACGTTCCTTCCCGAGAATCGCAGGCTCGGGGAACGAGATTGATGCAACTCGTGTTACTCGTGTGGTGTTTTAGTCACAGCCCCTCGCTTCCGCTTGCAAGTCTGCAATGTTTGTGGCATATATTTATATCAAGTATATGCCGTTGATTCGAATTTAATTCTTAAATAGCTTCTAAACAGATTCCAAATACTTTCCTAGAGAAAATAACCTGGGTACGAGATTGAGTATATCTTGGTCCCAAATCCTTAATCTGATCTCACTTATCACCGTAATCCAAATAAATGCAGATTAAAACCTTTATCCTCAACCAAGCTATATCGCTTTATTAGCAGATAACAGTATAACTTATTCAACGATCAAACCGCCGTAACAAGGCTGGTTTAAGACTTGTTATCGCAACATATAATCATGTCAAAAGTGATAACTTTAAAAGATAACAGCAATATAGTCTTTCCAGATATCAGCGATTAATCCATGTCCATCTCTGTATAAACAGATAATTCTGTCAGAGTAATAGAAATTAGAAGAATATTCTCTCGTATGAAACATGACGTCACACGAAGGCTAACGAATAATTATGCCCTGTGATTGTCTTGCTAAAACAGTGACTCGTTCATTTATTGTGTTTCATTGTTATAATCAATCAATCAATCACATAATCTGTTCATATAGTTTGGGGGCGACACAAGCTCAACGGGAACTCTGAAATAGCTGCATGTATTGTAATAGGATAATTAGAGTAAAATAGATCAGACTTTTAAAGACACATAAATGTTTCATACAGAATGTTGGGCTTTGAATGTCAACTGTTTGATCGTGGGAAAAACGGAGAAAAACCAACACGACAGAATGCTTATAATAGATCAAATGTTTATAACTACATAAGTATGCTTAAGAACGAAAAGCCAGAAAGGTCAGAAATCTAATAACGATAAATGGATCATCCCTTTTCTCTCGCGTCGTACATCGTAAACTCCTTATTAAGTCTAAGTGGGCGTGCTTCATTATTTGCAACAAATGCATTTCCACGTCTGAGGATCTTCTATAATTACTTGTACCCCGCGCGTGTGTCTATAATATAGCAAATATAAAATACGGATTTGTTTGAACACAACCGAACATGCAGGACTATATTTTAGAAATCATGTTTTATACATCGTATCAGTTGAACGTACCATGCATACCTGACAATGTAAAACGTCTGATCTTTTCATCCCTTCTATATATATATATATATATATATATATATATATATATATATATATATATATATATATATATATATATATATATATATATATATACATATATATATATATATACCAGTAAATAAATGACACTTGACAAATTGTTTATTATGAAACAAAGTATTATTATATCTACAAAATACAAGCAAGATTCATTCGTCCGAAATTCGCGTGTGTTCCTAGCACGAATACGTTTCCTTATTTCATGAGACCACTGCATCGCGAAGGATCGTCATGGATCGTTCGTAGTTCTGAATTAGGGCATGCTGTCACAATGGAATTGTGAAGCACTTCTAACTTCTGCAACGTTCTGAAATCTTGTTAAGAACACCCAAACTCTTTTGCCGTTTCTTAATCTTGGCAAGTTCAGAGTAAACTGAGAATTATATGAAACACAATCAAACCATATAACTCAATAAGACATAACAATTAAGCAACTCCCTAGAGGCATGCAACATTTTTGGAACAAAACCTAACAAAATAGTAGCGTTGATACGGTGAATGTGTATTTGCAAAAAGCAATATTATTTCCTTCAATAAAGAATAATATTCATCCTGCTCTAACCGAGAAGTAATCAACTCAGTCTGTTTGAACCCATTAAAAACATAAAAATTTAGGCTATTTAAGAAAAATTTAAGCGCCTGCCTTCCATGGTCTTTCATGTACTTTTAAGTTTGTAAAGACCTAATATTAAATACTTGCATAATTTCGAACGTTCATATTTCAGGAAACATTGAGCTAAGACTTACATGTAAGATGTCTCAATCTACGCCATATCCCTTACAAACCCTAACGACAATTCGCTGAAATACAAGTTAGCCTGATATGTCATTAACAAACAAACACTGGAGTTAATATTTGATATACCGATTTTTGCTAATTTTAGACACATCCCAAAAGATGCTCCCAATTTTGAACATTAATATCTCTGTGAATTTTTAAGTAAAATGCAACTGTAATATGTCAAAATCTAAGTTAGACATTCCTCTATTTAATGCAAGTTATTTCTCTTTAAAAGCTTTACTTGTTTAGAAGTTATTACGAAACAAACAGGAGTACTTTTTTTTGGGACACCCGGTATATGTATATATATATGTATATATAGTTTTTCGTTTTACCTCAAAAACCCACAACAGTCTGTTTCATCCGTATAGGAATCATCCGTATAGGAATCATCCGTATAGGATGATTCCTATACGGATGAAACAGACTGTTGTGGTTTTTTGAGGTAAAACGAAAACTATATTACGCTCTATCTATACGGTATATTGAGCACTGTTTGTGTTTCGTAAACCAAAATCTTAAGCTATATATATATATATATATATATATATATATATATATATATATATATATATATATATATATATATATATATATATATATATTGTATATATATATATATATATATATATATATATATATATATATATATATATATATATATATATATATATATTTATATATATATATATATATATATATATATAATATAGTCATCCACCGTATATGAGCTGTTCTACAATCTGATTGGTTGAATTACTCGCCGTATATCAGCTCATATACGGCGAGTAGCGAAAAACAAGATGGCGGTCCAAAAACTACATGAGTTTTGCGAAGCAGAAAAAGAAAAATATTCGCTTTGAGAAACATAATAGTACAGGGAAAAACTCTCAAAAAAAATTGACAGGTTAGCAAAATACATTTATTACGTAGAAATTAGTTTAAATAAAGTTTTTTAAAGAATTAATACCGAAACAACAGCGAAAAAACATGTTCATTGAGAATATAAATTGTTCAGAAAAGTTTGCCGATAAACGACAAATGAATTTGCAGCCAACAAGCACTTACTATAGTACCAAACATCTGTATAATATATCTGAGCTTTCCTGTGAGATATAGAGGTTCTAAAACCATTTCTTTCACTTCGTCTTCGAGTTGTAAAACAAAAGTATTTCAAATTTTCAAGCGGTTTTTGGCCGAACAAATTGTCAACACATTGTAACAGTGAATAATTAATTACTGCTTCAGTTAATGGCTATATTAGACTATATTATAAAACAATTATAACATTCGCTCTCGTCGTATATGGCTGATAGCCGACTCGGTGCTACGCACCTCGTCGGCTATCAGCTCATATACGACTCGAGCTCATGGTATAATTGTTAAATATATATATATATATATATATATATATATATATATATATATATATATATATATATATATATATATATATATATATATATATATATATATACAAAAACTCAGCAAGCTTTGTTTGGCAAAATAGTTTGTGTTGGGTTATAAAAACCAATGATAGAGTGCTCAATGGATAACCAGAGCATAATAGAAAGACACAAAAACTTAGCAAGCTTTGTTTGGAATATTTATTACTATACAGCTTCGTACTCTTCAGATAAAATAGCCTATGTTTGACCTATATAGCTTCTTAAAAAGTTATTTAAAAAGTTCGTTAGAAGCTATAGGTCAAACATAGTCATAGGCTATTTTATCTGAAAAGTGCCACGTTATTCACGTGGTAGGCCTATGAAACTGTATAGTAATAAATATGCCAAACATATTACGGAGTGTACAATAACACAACATAATACATATCGCATATAGCTATTCCTATACAGGGTGAATGCCTCTCTTTAGGGCTGTTAAGTACATTGTCGCCAGCTAACATTACGGTTTTCCCGTGGAAGTGAGACCTCTGTATGTACTTACTCTGTGCCCATACGAATGTGAGAGGAGCTTCTGTAGCGAAGTCATCAGAACAACCGCCTTTCACCTCTGAGATCGTGGGTTTGCATCTCGCTACGAACTTATGTGAAAAGAGTCTGTCAACGCTCTGCCGAAAGTCGTGGGTTTTCTCCGGGCGCCCCAGTTTCCTCCCACAGGGAAAGTTGACAGGGTGGGTTAGGATAAACATAGTTAGATTGTTGCAAAGATAAATAGTCAGTAACAAAAATAAGCGTATAATACTTGATGTGATCGATCACGAAACAGCCGCTGAATAATAATGTAATGTAACATGTCCACCGAATCATGACAACAAAACCAGAAAACCTTCAGCTCAAAAGGTATGTTTTATATAATCCATATAGATTGCCCATATTCGAAAACACACGATGAAAGTTTCATGCAATTTATTGTTGTCATCTAACATCTTCTTGATGTTACTTGGACTGCTGACAGCCAATAAACATTCGCAGAAGTTTTTTAAGAAAGATAAAAAAGGTACGCTTTCGACTCTTTAGTGTATCCAGTACCTAGATCTTATCCTCAACCTTGAAAAAGATTTTACCTCGATCGGTTTGCGTCACTCTGATTAATATTATGTCAAAGCTACATATTTTGATAGCTGCCTATATTATAGATTGATATACGATTTCACATTTGGCTGTTATCCCATCAGAAACTATATATGAATGTTTAAAATAAACAGCAATCATATTTATTCAACAGAATAATAATAACAATAATAATAATATCAACATGTAATTGTTCGTATTTCCTAAACGGTTAAATTTTATTAAGTTTTATTAGCAATTTGATATAAGATGATCATATTGTTTCAACTTGTGGAAAAGCCTCACGCTTGTTGGTTTGACGAGACGTTGTGTAACTGCTGGTTCACTCGTTGAATGGCCGCTTAGGTGGTTGTTGGTTGATTAAATAATTTTGCATGGGTGATGGCTTGTTCAATAACTGACTGACTGCTGTAATTATTTTAATAGTTCCAGCTTTGGCATGGAAAGATATTACATCCAACGACAGTGTCTCTTCTGAAATCCACTGTGCATTTAACTGTGGTAATGAGCCAACATGTGCTGGATTTAAATACAAATTTGGTACAAACAGTCCATCAGTAAACTGCCAACTCAGCAACACTACTGGCAAGAACAACATGGCAAATTATGATGATCAAGGCTGGGTGTTTTTTATCGATGTTACAAAAAAATTGGTACGTATACTTAAATTATGTGTGATAACTCTGGAAACGATTGCGTGATTCCTTTCCAGATTTTAATCTCCATGTTTCAATGTTTATATATTTAACTCGTTAAATATATAATATATATTTAATGTTTATATGTATTTCGCGTGTCGCTTATATAGTATTAGCAAATATACAAAACTTAGAAAAATATTGTTGGCTTGATACAAAGGAGTCACTGTTAACAGCTAACCTAAGCATTACCTAACCTAAAGGTTACTGTAAACCTAACAGCAACTTGGTCTCCTTTAGTCAAACCGGCCTAATACACTTTTACTGTATTATACAACAAGCGCTTTATAGTTGAAAATGTATTAATTATAGAAACAGTACAGTACTAAAACTAAGAAAGAAATTACAACAACGTCTGGTATTCCTACAACTGAGAAAGAAATGACAACAACGCCTGGTATTCCTACAACTGGTAAGTGCAACGCACATTTTAAATGAAATATCTTCATATTTTAGTATTTCGAAATTCGAATTAATTCATTTCGTTTGAATTCATGATTTGTAATGATTCGTTCGGTAATTCGCACTATATTGGAGAGTACAAAAACTCCGAAATCTGAATGGCAGACGCAGGGCCGTCGTTATAGGGGGGGGGGGGGGTGTGGCGGGGGGTGACATCCCTGAAAACATCTTGTCGGCAAAATAATAGATTTATCGGCAAATTGTTTTCGTAGTCAGCGAAAATATTTGAGTGGCTCTGAATAAAAAGTAATAGGTATAGCAAAAAAATTAATAAATGTTACAAAAAATAACAAATTTCGGTATCGGAAGATTTTTTACATCTCCCGCCCCCCGCTCGCGAACAATTTTGGAAAAAGAAATATTAAAAAGCGACTGAACTGTTGTCGGCATATGCGATACTACCTCCACAGCCCCCCCTCCCCCAACCTCAGCCTGTTTGCTACGGTCCTGGGCAGACGGTATCCACGAAGGATTACTCGAAAGGCGGGTCGTCTGCCATACAGGGAATGCTGGGATAAGTAAAAATCTATCTTTATAATGATCCATTTCATTTCTTGAAATTTATTTAGTTCTGCCCCAACGTAATGAATGCTCCAGCTATTCATGGCTGAATGAAAGCAACAGAAACCAGAATTATTCAAAAGAAACACAACATTGCGACGACGGTCTTTCAGGATGGTACAGATTTGGAGGAGGAGCTGGGATTAAAATGGCATCATCGTGTGTACCTCAACGGAGATGTGGAACCCATGCCCCAGGTTGGATGAATGGTGCTCACCCTACAGTTGCTGATGGCAAGGTCACCAGGAAAGTGTGTTACACTTGGATCAATGGTTGTTGCATGTCAGTACTCAAATTACATCGAGGTTGTGAATTGTGGACAGTATTATGTTTACAAACTAAGCCCTCGTGCTGGTTGTGTTTTAAGATATTGTGGATCAGATAAATGATGCAGATTGTTCCACGTACACATTATGATGCATTTACATTACCCACTAGCGGACTGGCACTAGAGTTCATAGATTAAACTTTGTTCAATTGACTTAACGTAAATGGTCTAGCAAACGTCCACCCTCGAACAGATTAACAGACGCCCCAGTCAACTCAGAATCATACAGCAGCCACCCTTCTCGACTAAGTCCGTCTTATTCTAATAAACGCCCCTTCCCGTAGGGGGCAATCAGCAGACTTTTTAATTAAAAACATTTTGTATAGTATAAATGTGTAACAGCTATGAAAGTTGAAGAGTTTTACTTTTTTCACTCCGC